ATATGCCTAAGCTAGTCCAAACACTCAGATATTAAAAAAAAAAAAATCTCTTTTGAAATGAAGATTTCATCGTGCACCTTCTATAATTTTTTTAATAATTACATGAATGAAAAATTGAAACATTTACCTTAAAAATGTAATAGATGTTGCACCGAGAGCTACATATGCTCAAATTGACATATTCTCAATTGTTAAAACAAATAAACCAAAAAGTCATCGTGTCTAGTTATATATGTCAAATAAACTCTAAGACTTTGTAATTTTTTTTTGTTTTTTTCCTCTCGATGAATGTGTCAAATTGCTTTTTGAAGGTTAAGGGACTAAAATAATTTCTTTTTCTTTTTAAAAAATTTATTGACTAAAATTAGAATGAAACATATTTAGAATTTATAAGGAGTAACACAAAATGCCTACCTCAAAATTATTAAAATATTTATGATTTTCGTCCAAAATTAAAATTCAAGTGAAGTTGTGGTTGTAATTTATTTGAGATTTAATGGTTGGATATGGTATCTTTTTTAAGCCATTATTATCATTGTTGCGTGATTTTATTTGGATAATTGACTGGATGGATTAGGTGCACATCAACGAGGTTTAAGAAAGACAAATGTTCAAAGTTTAATGATGTTGGAGGAGGGTGTCATGATTGGAGTTTATCTAGGAAAAAGTGACAACTAGCTGCTTCCACTACGGCATAAGTTCAAAATAGCAAAGGACGTTGTTATTGGCGACAACGAACCTTTCACATATTCACTATTATGATATTGTCAATTTTAGGTATAAATTCTCATGACTTTACGTTTGATTTCTCATTCCAATAGAGATGTTGTCTGTTACTTATATTGGTGGGATTGGTGGAGCCAAATTAACGTAGGAACAAGTTAGATACGAGTTAGGATTGAGTCGAAATGCGTTGGGACGAAGTAGGGATGAAAATAGGTGAAGTGGAGCGTTGCAGGTCAGGAGGGCCAAGGAGGCAGTGTCGCGACACTAGGGACGACGCCGTAACGCTGTCCTGATGGTGCGTGTAGGCGTTTTTTCCTTTCGTAGCGCTATGACGCCATATTGACGTCTATAAATTCGCAGTTCCGCAATTTTAGGGTTCTTGAGCTGTGAGGTTTGATTTTTCAATCGATTATCAGAGGGTTTTATGGCAGATTTGAGGCAGCGGCTCTGGCTATTGGCAACAACATCGGGATAGATCAAGAAATTAAGATCGTCGTATTCAGGGTGATTAGATCTTGACTCTTGTGAGTTTTTGATTATTGTACCTAAGTATAGTCTGTTATAATATTTAAAAGTTAGAGAGCTTTTGTTGAGACCAATAGAGGGTGAATATTGGGGGTGAGATATTTGAGTGCTTTGTATCAAATCTCTAATTATGGTGGAACCCGCATCTGAGCGGAAGACTGAACGTAGTCCATTAACTATTGGGATGAACCAGTATAAATTCTTTGTGTTGTCTTCTACTTTTCCTTCAATCTCTTAATTGTTGTTATGTGATAATTGTGATTTGGTGGATATAACAGGGGAAGAAGAAATAGTTTTGAAGCATCTAATTTCTCAACACATATACCATAAATCTTCCTAATCTTCTCCAGCTAATGTAAGACTTTAATCATATTTCTAATCGTTGCAAGTAGTTTGAAAGGATTGTAAATGTGACGTAATTGGTGTAGAGTAGCTCACATCGATCATGCCTCATATCTAGCTAATCTGATGTAACCAATTCGAGTATCCTACACAGTAGATAAAACACACCAATATGACGTAACCTCCTTAGGCCTCATCCCCTATCAAGGACTTCGAGATTGTTTCATATGCTTGCCTATGACGTTTTGGCTTTGCTATCTACTTTATTTTTATTTTGAAAATCTACCCAGTCATATCACATTAAAATTAACAATTTAAATCCCAATTTTCAATTTAAGCACTAGAAATTATTTAATTTCACAGAGAGAATTATAAAAATAGCACAAAAGAGACTACGTAGTTTATATATATAACATGACGTCTAAGATATTAGACAAATGGCAAATTTAGTAGGTTCATGACTTAAAAAAAAAAACAAATATTATAATATTTTTTATAAATACATATTTATTTTGCCATTCAATGTAATTTCTTATTTTTATTTGCCACACAAATGAGACTGAGAGAGATAGAGAGACACTTTTTGGCTTGTCGAAAATTACGCTTAAAAAGAAAAGGTAAAAAGAGAACATTTGATAGGACGTGTTTGGAAACTTTATCTTTTTTTTTTCTTTTTTCTAGAAGCTAAAAAGCCAAATATTTGCTTTTCCGATCCATACTTTTCCTTCTTCTGCCTCTATCTCACTTTCTTCTTTTCCTTTCTTTGCAATGAATCAATTAATCATCTATGATTAAAGTTTAAGAAATTGATTGGCTTAAATTAAAATAGATTAATTTAAAAACATAGGCTATAAAATTATACATTTATAGTAATAGTAAGTAGCCTGGTTGCTAACTTGAGTATAACTTAACTATCTCCGATTAAAATGTTATGAGTTCGAATTTCTACCTCATATGCTGTACTAAAAAGAAATTTCTCAAGCATTAGAAATCTAGTACATTTTCTCAAGAGGGGAGGTTAGAAAAAAAATCAAACTTTTGAATAATTGTCGAAAGTGTTTGATCAAGAAATTTACCAACTCCATGAACTTCGGCTCGAACTGACGATGACTCGACGAACGAGCTGGAGATGGATTAGGCAGGGAACCTGCAAAACAGAACACACTCTGATGCTAAAGTTAATAGCTGGTCGAACTAAACTCGAAAAAGAATTCAGTGTTCGCGTCTCTCAAAATGAAGTGATGGGTTCTATTTATAAGCAACTTCTACGACAATATTCTTGACAAGGCCTCAACTGCTCTTTAAGGTAGCCGTGAATAGCGGCGTGTTGTCGTGGAGTTTGTCGGAGACTGGGGCTGAGCTGAAGTAAAGTCAATCGGTTCAACTAATAAATAGGAACAAGATTTCAAGGAAGCTTGATCGGCTCGGCCACCAATAGTTCGGCTCGATCATAGAGAACGAGACCAAGGTAGCAAGACTTGAGGCTTATCAATCATAGCTACGCGTAAGTTTCATTATCCAACCAAGATATGCCACGTGTGAGCTGAAAATCACCTCCAATAAGAAGCATATTTGTAATTTTGAATGATGTATAAAATTAAAGAAAATGAAATTAAGAATTCATATAATAATAACAATATTATTATATTGTTTTAAAAAAAATATTATTATTGAAATTTAATAATTTACTTAATTCATGAACCTTAATGATGAAAGTTGATAAACTAGTAAAAAAATATATAAAAAAAGGGTTGGAATTGCTTGTGTGAGTGTCCTTGCTTTACTTTATGAAGCAGCTTTATGCAAAGAAAACAACACTTGTTTGAAAATAGGAACCAAAACAGTGGGAAATTTCAAAAAGGATTATTAAAGGGCAAAAAAGGGAAAAAGAAAAGAAATATATTACCTCATCTTTGTTATTTTTGGGGGGAAAATATATTACCTCATCATGAGAATATGATAGGGGATAAAAAGGTGGAGTGTTAGGAATTGTTTTGATATATATATTTTAAAAATATTTCATAAATTATGTTTTTAAATTCATATATATTTTTACAATTTAAAAAACTATTTATAAAGATTCTTCTTGTCATATTGTTTTCATTTAGGAAAACACACAAGGAAACAACCCTTCTTTTTTTCTTTTTTAAATTTGGAAACTATTAAAAAAAATAGCATGCCAAATTAAGCTTTCTATATAATTCAAGCATAGTTCAACTAGTTAAAACATCTATATACGACCACAAGGTTGTAAGTTCGAATCCTCACTCCCATATGTTATATTGAAAGAAATTTTGTCCCTTTAGTTTTTATTTTTGGTTCATTTCGATCCTTATACTTTGAAAACGTCTATTTTTATTAATGTACTTTTAAATTTGGTTCATTTTAGTCCCTATTCTTTCAAAATGTCCACTTTCGCCTCAATACTTTTAAAAGGTGACCATTTTGATCATTTTTATTTTTATCTAATTTCGTTTGGTCATAATTCTAATATGATATTTCGGTTACTAAATTTCTTGAATTATCGTCCATAATTTCGTAAGTGTTTCCATTATATATAAAATTTATGTTAGAATTTTGTAAACGGGGACCAAATTAGTTACCTTTTTAAAATGCAAGGACCAAAATAGATGTTTTGGAAGTCCAATATCTAAGTGAATAAAAGTTAGAAGTATAAAGACCAAAATGAACATATAGGAAGCAAAATAATACTTAAACTAAAAATTAATTACCATTAGCTTCAATCTTCTTTCTTTCCACCTCTTCAAAAATAACAAATTCAAACACAATTTAGTAGACAAGTAATTTATTACTCTCTTTAAAGTCAATGATGTTACTAAAAAGAATTGACATACCAACTCCAACCAATATCACAAATATTTATATAAAACAAATGAACTCCATTGAGAGAATTTGCTTACATAAAATTTGGGGATTTAGTCAAAGGGTCAATGAAACAAACATCACCCACATAACTTTGGGGTCAATGTTTTCAGTCATATATGCCCTCTTGACTATCTATTTTTTGCTTTCTTCTCATTTTACTATTATAGAAAATTATTCCCAAAATTAATACAGCTAATTTGGACCGTTTTATTCTTACCAAAACATTTTTGTAGCTAAAAACCTTAGCAACTCCCAATTTCATTCATAATGTTATTGTAGCTAAAAACCTTAGCGACTCCCAATTTCATTCATAATGTTACTAAGCTTAAATAGTGAGGCGGGGATTCGAATTTCTGACCCAATATATGTCATATTGGCATTTCATGAAACAAAACAAATGAAATTTCTTTGCATAATGGTAAAGATATGAAACTTCTTCCATCCTACAAAAGCCAAGCTGGGTCAAAAAGCATCGTTTTGTAATCAACGAACCCTAATAAATAAAAATAAAAAATTCAAAATTTGGGAAAGAAAAAGTACCATTAATATTTATAATATATTATCATTACATTACACCACTGGATTTTCAAAAGCGGAAGAAAAAAAGGGAAAAAAAAAACCTTATGTCCAGCCCCGTCATCTTACTACCTGAGAGATCCTCCACTAAAATTAAAACAAAAAAGTACTAAAAATTAATTTCCAAAAAGGAAAAAAAAAGGCATTAAAAATTAACTATGAACTATCCTATCTATCACATGACCGCCTTCCACGACTCGAGCGTGGGAAAAGTGGAAAATGTATCAAAACCCGACCCGATGGGCCCTCCATTGGCGATGCCCAAACCCGGCCCAAAATCGAGCGGGCCCGGCCCAGTAATCTCAGATCCGCTCCCGGAGCTCTGCTGGTGGTGGCTGAGCAAGAAAGCCGAGGTGTCGAGCGTGGGGAGGGCGCCGGCGCCGGGCAGCCGCCCCCCGGGCCTCTGCGGCTCCGGCTTCAGGATCGGCGCCGTCTGAGCCTGCGACTGCGAGCTCCCGAATCTGACGCCGGTGACCTGCTGCACCATCTGGCGGAAGTTGGCCGCGTCGGCCGTGATGAACGTCGTGTGGTTCCGCTTCGAGGCCCGCGACTTGCGCTTGGAGACCTTCCCTCCCGACGGCGGTACCGAGCCTCTCTGGCGCCTCGGCGGCGCCGTCTCGGCCTCGGAAGCAGCGCCGCCGGCGGAGAGTCCAGAAACAGAGGGCGTGGAGGGAGGCGCGGCGTCGGACTTGATGAGATCGAGAAAGGAGGTGATGACTTGGGAATCGGCGCCGGCGAGGGATCTGTGGAGCGCCGTAGTGAGAGCGTCGGAGTCTCTGGAGAAGGGATCGGAAATCCAGGGGTCCAGGAAGGAGGAGCGGAAGGCCCAGGGATTGACGACGCTGGCCAAATTGTCGGAGGAGGCCATTGAAATCGAAGGGGAGAGAGGAATCTGAATGGGAACGAGAATTCAGAGCATTTGTTTGTTTGGGGAGTGGGGAGTGAAGGGAGAGAAATGGGAGAAGGGGAGAGACGGAAGAAGGAGAATAAATAGGGCGGTAGAGGGAAAGAGAAAGGGTAGAAAACGCGTTGTTGAAGGAGAACACGCGTCAGCTTTTTCCGTACTATTGCGAAACACAGGATTGTAATCCAAGTTTTGTTATTATTTTCTTTCCATTTATTAAAATGAAAAATAATAGGGTTAAATTTAACCATGGTTGGATTTGTTTGACTTGAGTCTTTTCTTTTCTTTTCTTTTTTTTTTGGAGAGGGGAAAGTGGGATTTGTGTCCTTTTGGGCGTGTGGTGTGGTTTCTTCTTCCATCTTGAGTGTGTTTGTATGGTAAAATCACTCCCATGTGAGTTAGTTTGACAAATTAAAAATTTGATTTTAGGAAAATATAAAATCAATTAAAATTGATTTATAAAGTATCAATTGAATGGTGAATTTTGAGACATCAATTATTCTTAAATATATTTTTTCAAAACTACTCCTTCCACCATCATTTACAAACTCATCATTAATTCTTTTTGGTAATATATATATATATATTTGTCTAATTTCTATTTGGTTGATTTAGTTCAAAGGTTAAAAAACGAACGGTAACGATTTTGTTGATGTTGGGATTCTGGTAGCCGCACACCAACTCAAATACTTCAGAATCGAATACTTGCAAAATCGAATAAAAACCCTAACCCGGTGTGACTTCGGTCACACTAGCTCCGATGCCTAAGTTAGCAAAAAGAAAGATTACTCAAACAAGGGACTTAGAAGTGTAGTCTTGGCTTACCTGGTGAACCTCTCCCTATTTATAGTTGAATAATCCATTGGGTTTCGTAATCTTTCACCCTAGGTTCCAGATTTCGTGGGCCCGCACGCAGAAAAATAATAGCCCTAGGTCTCGTCGACCATCTAAAGACAGAGGGCAGGGCTCGGCCAGCCCTGCTCGACACCAAGTAGGGGTCGGGACCGAGCCCTACTCGGTTCGGCCCGCCTGGTTCGTCTATGCTGTTATCTTTTACCCACAACAATTGCCCCTACTCTCGAAGTGATATATTTATTATTATCTTTTTACTCTTATCACTTTGATAGAATACTTACCGGTGGGCTATTCTATGTGTTGTGCTGTCAAATTCGAGTTTTGAATCCAATAGACCCAAAAGGGATGGGTCACGTCAGTCACTGCCTGGTCGCCTCCTAGTCAAGATTCTGGCCCGAGGTGGCCTCTTCCTTGGCTGCCGAGCCGAGTCATGTCGTTGGAGTTTGTGACTAAGTTGTCACTATCCTTAACTGCCGAGCCACTGTTTGTGGATTCCCATGTAGGTATGGTCACGTCATCGGTTTCCGTGAGATGACCTTGCTGCTCTACAAAGGAAGCTCGACGAGGCTAATGATTGGTTATCTAACTCCAAATTCCTAACTGCGAAGTTTAAGAAGACTCAAGACTATGTTGATCTGCAGAATGCCGCCATGGAATGTGGCGTGTCTTGGTCCCTCCGCCAAGTCTCTAAAAAGCATCCTGATGTTGACTATTCCTTTCTTCAGAAGCGTTTTCGGGCTGAATGCAATGCTCCTGATGACATGGATGATAGTGACGAGGAGGAGTAGAGGTCGAATCATTTATTGACGTTTTCATGCTTCAAAAAGCTTTGTATTTCTGTTGTCTTTGTTACCATTGTTAGTTGTATGTCGGAATTTTCAATGAAACCCTTTAAATTTATATTCGTTTAAGGCTCTTCATTTTGACGGAGTTGACTTTGCCTACTCTTAAGTTTTTGTGGGTTTCTAACTTGCTGATTACATCCAATAGTTTTATACCCTTCTCTTGTCGCTCATTCGGCTCTTTGTTCGCCTCTTGTTTTAACCGTGGTAGGCAAAGTGACCGCTTCTGGTTTAGCCTTTGATTGAGATTTAGTCGATCCATAATATTATCTTGCCCCCACTTGAGGAACTCATGGGAAGTAGTAACAATGGTTGCTTAAGTAAGTAATACGAATTTCATTAAACTAAACTAAATGCATAACCATAAAAGAGAAAAAGAAAAACCAACAGAAAAACAAAATTAAAAAACTGCCTCTTGATCATATCTCATCTGTCACTGATGTAGTCAAAATTACTTTGAAGTAGATGCCCCTGAGTTGTAACCCCTTAGCGAGGTATAGTAGCACTCACGTGATACTCGTTGCTCTCCTCTGACTTCACCTATGTTGGGAATTTCATAGATTGGTGGTATGTCGAGGGTATTGCCTTGAGCTTGTGTATGGTCGGTCTTTCCAATATTGCATTATAAGAAGACGAGTAGTCAATGATGAGAAATTCTACCACTTTGATGACACTTTTCAGCCCACTTCCAAATGTGACTGGTAGCTCAACTCTTCCCTCCGGAATGACTTGCTCTCCTCCAAGCCCTACTGGCGGTGCGGGGCTTTGTTGAGTGTGTTGCCCTAAACTCGTAGTTTGTATTTTGTAAAAACATATGTCTATTTAATAAAGTTTTATTCAATAAATTTGTTGTTGAATCATAGCTTTGCATTTTCCAAAATCCAATAAACTAAACATCCAAGGTTATTTATGATGTAATCGGGACAGTATATATACTGGGTATATAGTTGATATACGGGGTATATATTTGATATACCCCTGATATATGAATGGATAATGTCCCGTGAATAACCTAAAGGGTCTATAGTATATGGATAAGGCTGGGTACCTTATCCTGACTACACTATGGATACGGCCCACTCTATAAAGGTTACAGACGACTCGATCCAGGTCGTTCGTGTGGAGACATGCGAGTGGGGGTATCCTATACAATGAGTTTGTATAAGACCGGACCGCGAAATAGGCAATCTTTAG